CTGGTTTTCACTATCATTATATTTTTTTGGTGTACATTCTCAAAGTTACCGAACTAACTCTTTTCATCATATACACATCATTGCCATGTGTAATTTTGTAACCAACTTATTATCAAGAAGACTACATTGAAAAAGTTCTTGAATGTTTTGGTTTGAGCAAGGCCAAAGTAGTTAGTTCTCCACTTGCAGGACATTTCAAACTCAGTTCTAAAAGTAGTGGTGAAACGAATATGAGTCGGTTCCATATACATCTGCAGTTGGAAGTTTGATGTATACGATGGTCTGCAATAAACCAAATTTTTCTCATGTGGTTGGAGTTGTGAGTCTTTTTCTATGAAATCCTGGTCGAGAACATTGGGAAGCAGTGAAATGAATATTAAGGTACTTGCGAGGTACTTCTAGAGTGTGTTTATGCTTTGGTATTGATGAACCAAAAGCTTGTTGGGTACATGATTCTGATATGGTTGGAGATGTTGATTCTAGAAAGTCTATTTTTGGATTCCCAATGACTTTGACACTTGCAGGGGGAGCTGTTGCATGGCAATCAAAGCTCAAAAAGTGTACTGCTCTATCTAGCACAGAAGTTGAATATATTGTTATAACTAAAGGAAACAAAGAAGCTTTGTGGATGAAGAGATTCCTAGAAGAATTGGGAATGAGTCAAGAGAAGTATGTTGTGTTCAGCGATAGCCAAAGCGCTATTCCTCTCTCCAAGAACTCAAGATTTCACTCATGATCAAAGCACATTGATGTGAGATATAAATGGATTCCAGACATGCTTGAGAAAAAATAGTTATATGTGAAGAAAATTCCCACTACTGAAAATATAGGTGATATGTTGACAAAGAATTTGCCTAAGGAGAAGCTTGAAGGCAAGGAGCGACTTTGTTGAGCTCACAGCTATGAACTGATGGGGGAGATTTGTTGGGTCAATCCACATTGTGGCTTGGGCTCAATGCTTTCTCAACACCCTAGTTCACATTGTGGGGGGGAGGGGGGTCCAAAGTGAAAAATAGACAGAGAGAGACAAAAAGAACACAAAAAAAAAGTGAAACATAGGGATTTTCCTATTTGAAGGTTGCTATTCCGGTAAACATCAGATTTCAAGAGTTTTGACCATTGAACCATTGCAAAATTTTGCCAACAGGTTCGTTACCGACTTAGCTTCATTATAAACGGTGGAGATTGGATTTTGATAGGTTTAGAGTAGCCTGCTTGCGGAAAAGCAGAACTGCTGCAGTCTTGATTTTGCCCCATTTGTTTAGCTTCTTTGTCTCTTGCTTGTTGCCAAGATAGTGTGTATATCTTGATGGTGTTGTTGCTGCCAGGATTGAAAGTTTAAATCTTGATGTCTATGGTATTCCTCTACTTGTTGAACTAGAGAGGATTTGCGGGTTTGCCCATTATTGTTTATAGTGGAAGAATTAAGCGGCCTACAGATCCCGTAGTTTTCTCTCGTTTGGGAGATTTTCATGCTACTATTTCTGGTGTTTCGCTATTTCGTTTTGTTAGCTTTATTTATTCTCTACTTGTAATGCATGTTGGTCCCTTTTTTTATGTGAACAAGTTTGTGTGTCAAGGTTCTAGCAAAGAATGAAACTACGGAATTATTATGATCGAAAAAAATATATCAATGGCCAAGCCTTTTCTTCATTCATGTATATATCATGCTATGGGGTTTAAGGGGGGTTTGTGTTTAAAAAACTTGTTTGAAGTTTTAACCCTCAAAAATATCCCTTCTAACCGTAAACTTGAATGTTTAAATTTGTAAACCTCCACTCAAATCTCTTACAGAGACATCTATGAATCCAAACTAAACCAAATCAGATTTTATGCGAACGTTGCAGACATAACGAAGTAGAAAAATTATTAGTGCTCCTTAATCTTTTCTTTCAACCCTGCCAGCTAGCATAACGCACAACTTATTTTGAAGTTCTCGTTCAATATTTGGACAAGACATACAAGGCTACCATGTTTGGGAGCTTTGCGTGAAAAAAAAAAAAATTTATGGCTAGTAAATGTAAATTTGATACTAAATTCATTACGATCAGACGATCGGGACCCATTTTTTGAGAAGCCAAATTGAATTAGTATCATTCTACTTAACAATCACGATTAATTCATGCACGTCAAGCTTCTGGCAAAGCTAATCTTGCAGCGTCATTTTGAACAGAAACTTTTGGTTTCCTTCATAGCACATTGAATGAAGCTGAATTTTGCGGCGATTAACATTTCATGTTTTAGTTCACACGCAATTTCAAGTCGTGTTTTGTTAGGAGAGGAAACAGAACATGTGGTACACTAAATGTAGCACTTCTAGGTATATTTCTGATGCACACTTTAAAACACAAAGTTTCCAGCAAACCATTTCCAGCTTGTTAAAAATGCAATTTTAGCTTGTTAAACATGCAATTTTCAACACTCGGCACAACAACTTGACACAAAGTCACCGATGGAATTTCGACATCAAATTACATACAGTGAAATTGTAAGTAAGAAAATATTGCATTACTAACTTAATGTACAACTAAGTTGAGAACACAAGTAGACAGATTCACTTGTGTTTTTTTTTTTTTTTTCATTTTGAATGTTATTTATGTTGGCAATCTAGTTGTACACTTGATTAGCATAATTAGCAAGGTAGCATTTTTCTTGTAATTACGATTTTTTTTTTAAAAAGGATTATGCAGAGGTGTAAAAAATTTTATTGTCTCATCTATTTGGTAGCGGTGAAAATTAGTCTCGTGGGTTCATCTTTAAGCCATTTGAAAAAATTAGAGAAATTTACATCCCTTACTATCAGTTATGATATATATTACACTTATACACCAATTATAATTTTATTTATAAAATTACAAAACAAACCTAAAATATTTACACTTATACCTAGGATTTTAAATGATGCCCATGTAACAGTTATCACCAAATATCGGGGCAAATTAAATACTATTGGCATAATTAATTGAATCAAACATATAATTACCAAAAAGAACGGACCCACTCTCTCTGCTATCATCTCTTTGCAAAACCATCTCTGCAAAACCACCTCAATGTTCATCTCTGCAAAAAAAAAAAAATTCTGAATATGGGAATTGCAATTACATGTTGGTTTTAATGATAATTAACAAAATTAATTTGGAATTAATTTTGTGTTGTAAAATTCGGGGATTTGGTGCAAGGGGCTTCGCCATCTTCTTCATCAGATCTGTTCATCAAAATCTGGTAATTGGGTTTTGCTTTCGCCGGGTACAAACAACTTTAATATCTGAGAATTTGATTCCAGAATTTCATATACAAATTCAAAATAAATTGGAATTGACTTTCGTTTTTGTTTCGTCTATGATTGTTGTCAGGCTAGCTGACGGGCTTGCTCGGCTAAGCACCGCTGCCACTGGGCAGCCCCATCACGCGGTTGTTGATGGCCCTTGTTTTTTTTTTCTTTTTTTAATATTTATTCATAGATTATATTTGGTATATTAGTTTTTTTTTTTTGTTGAAAACGAATTTGACAAACTATAAACTGATTTTTTTTGTTGTATAAGTATGGTTTATATTCAGTATATTTTCGGTATATGATAAAGAAATTTTTATGTATAAAATCAATTTATATAGGAGGCGATTGCGATGGCAGTTCACGTTGGTGGTTCTCGCTGGTCGGGATTCACCAGCTTGCGCCGTCGTGAAAGAAGAGCTCAATCTTCGATGCCGCTGATGTACTTTATGGTTAATATAGAAAGAGAAATTGGGGATGTTTCGAACTGCTTCTGCGAGAATTGTAAGGTATGGCGCCGAGATTCATGAAAGTCGCTGAGATAGGACTTCTCGTCGGATGAAAAACTTCTTAGAAGATAGTTTTTATTTTGTATAAGTTGCGGGTATATGTTGTGAAGTATATGTTCTGTATAATATAAGGGCTAAGCTGATGATTATTTTTTTGGTATATGTATGGTTTGTATTTGTTATCATCCGGATCGGTAAACCTACATCAAGAGATTCCAAACGTCACATTAAGAGGAAGATAATCATTGAACCGACGTGATTTTAAACACCACCCCGGTTCAGGCGACGAACCGGACCGAACTACCGAAGACCGAAGTGGTCAGCATCTACCGAAGTCAACATCTATCGAGGTCAACATGAACCGAGATCGTCACCTCCTTAAGCAGGTGACAAGGTGTCTACGAACAACCCTCCTGCTCCACAAGATCCGTCATCATTTATGTGGGACCCCCTGCCTCAAACCGCCCACAAAAAGTAACTTTATTCGAAAAAGTAATGCACAGATCCCAATGTATCAACCCGAAATTACTATAAATAGCGGGTCCATGACATTTGTACGGGGATCTCTCTCCGAACTGAAAAAACTTTACTAAGCAACACGTAAAAGCCCATCACGGCTCTTCACCTCGGTTCACCTCGGACCGGGGCCATTGTTGATTTCATCTTACATGCTTTACGTCCAAATCGTTCAAAATTATCCACTTAATCATAAGTTACATCGTTGTTAAAAATCACATAACAACAGTTTGGCGCTAGAGGAAGGGCCTCATAAGTGATTTGAGGTTAATCTCTGCTTTGTCACGTAACGGTTCATACCAGCCAGCCATATCCACCATGTCTCACTCAGATCATCGTGGTCACACGTCACGAGACGGCCACAGTCGTAGCGCCGCGCAATCCGCCAGACGACAAGCCGTAGCTCCACCTGCGCCGGATTATGCTGTTCTGTTTCAAAATCTGGAATTTGCGCGTGGTTTTGCCGCTTTAATGGCCCAAACGATGCCGGGAACATCAACAACGGCTCCGGGACACTCCATCATTCCCACGACCCCCGCGAACCGGCCAAATCCACCGGCGCGACAAGACGGCGGAAGGACAACATCTCATGCTACATCTCAACCTCGTAATCGAATGTCACAACCGCCTCCGGAACAAAATACACGACGCACTGACGCCGGGCGTAATCCTCCCATGCTTCCCCAAGAAGAAACTGCCGAAAGCCAGTCAGGTCATTTACGACGGACGCCGCCTCGTGAGCAGCACCGACATCCTTCCAATCCAGCGCAAACCGACCTCCGACAGCATGTTGAACGGAATCGGGCTCGCCAAGAGTCGTCCGAACTCGAAACATTGCGACGACGAATAGCCGAATTGAAAAATCGGCAACGGGCACCTGAGGATCCACCTCGGCGGGCCTCTACCTCGGCTCAGGTGTATTTGGAAGCCGACTCTCCCCTCACTCCGGAACTTACATCGGAACCAGTTCCTGGAAAAGTCAAGGTTCCCCAAATCGGGCTATATGATGGAACATCTGACCCGGACTCACACCTCGGACATTACACCTCATGGATGGACCTGCATGGAGCTTCAGACGCACTTCGGTGTCGCATGTTTTCACTAACACTGGGGCCTCGGGCCCAAAAATGGTACCATTCGCTTCCCCCTCACTCGATTTGGAAGTGGCAACAATTGAGGTCGGCTTTCCGATCTCATTTTATCGGGGCCCAAGTATGCCTTATCCCGAAAGAGTCTCTTGCCAATATCACTCAAAAAGATGATGAAAGCGTTAAAGATTATATCGCTCGTTTCAATGACCGAGTTCAGAATATGGAACCCTGTCATCCCGAAACTTTGCTTGTTATGGCTATTGCTGGGTTGAAGCCAAATTCGATTTTCCGCTGGACGTTATGCCAAAATAAACCGAATACTTTTCAAGAATTTCTCGCTCGAGCCCAACAGCATATCATAGCGGAAGAAGCTATGTCGGTTCCCGATTTCAATTTTAACCAGAAGTCCTCTAAGGCGAGAACCGACGAAAAAAGGAAGAATAAATTTTTTGACAAGCAAAACAAGAATCAATTCAGGGGACCTCCCCGAGGAGACCCCAACGATCCTGAAGTCCGAGCGGCCCGAAAACAGTACGCGACCGACGTGAAGTCCGGTTATCAAACTGTATACTCGGCGGGAGCAGCTACTATTTATGAAGAAATCAAAGGGAAGGGCATTTTGCCAGATCCCAAGCCACTTCGGATGCCTGAAGAAAAATTAGACAAGTCCCGATATTGCGATTATCACAAGTCGCCCGGGCACAACACGGACGAGTGTTTGAGTTTGTTGGCCGCATTGTTGCGTTTAATCGGCCATCCGCAGCTTAGGAAATTTTACCGTAATACCGATTCCCCAGAGGCGAGGACCTGGACGTCAGATTGAATCCTTCGATGATGAAGACGACGAGGAAGACCGAGGTGCAATGACAAAACGCATCCGACAGGGGGATAAAGAAGTATTCATGTTTACCTCGGAGGCCTCCGATTCTGACCCTGCTGAAATTTCCCGAGGACGTAAGCGAGATAGGTCTCCTGAACCAATGCAAATCACTGTCCATCGGGTCAATACCAACAATTCCCGGAGTACATTGTCCCGCCGACAGGTCAAGGAGTATGCCCGACAAGCTCACAACTCCGGCAAACAGGTTTACACCATCGACTTGAGAGATGTTCTCAACAATCGGAATTGCCCTATAACTTTCAATATGGAGGACGCAAATCATTTCGCCCATCCTCACTCCGACGCCCTGGTCATTACCGTTCCAATAAGCGGTATTCCGGTTCATCGTGTCATGGTGGACACGGGGGCCTATTCAAGTATTTTGATGCTGAAAGCTTTTGACAAGATGGGTCTCGACCCCACCGAGATCAGACCTTGCAACGATCAAATCCAGGGGTTTAATGGCAGTATTTCAAAACCCATCGGAGAAATCACTTTGCCTGTCCGATTTGGTACCTCGGAGAATGTCACCAAACTCGTCATGGAGACTTTTAAAGTTATGGATATAAATAACGAGTACAACGCCATCATCGGCAGAACGGCGTTGTACAAACTTCGGGCCGCAGTCTCTATCTTTCACTACGCGTTAAAGTTCCCGACAACCCGAGGAGAAGGAACCCACTTCGGAGATCAAAGAGAAGCTCGACAACTTGTAACGTTCATCCCATCTCATGGAATTCACTCAGCTTCAACGAGTAACAATGAAACCTCCCCACAACATCACTATCCGAACGATGTGATGACCGAAGAACCGAGCAACCACGTCGGTGAACCTTCCGCCTCGGATCCATTAACCGAAGACCGAGGACGCCGACCTGGAAAAGAGCCCCTCCTTGAAGAAGACGAGCTGGATCCCAGAGCATTGTTTAAAGAAAAAAGTCGACCTGATCGAGCCGAACCTGGAGAAGACGTGGAGTTAGTCTATATTGACGAACCAGTCTTCCACAAGTCATTACGTATCGGAAGTCATCTTCAGGAACCACTTCGGTCAGAACTTATTGCGTTTCTCAAGCAGAATTCTGATGTCTTTTCCTGGAAGCACGAGGACATGAAGGGCATCGACCCCGGTGTCGCTAGCCACAAATTAAACCTCGATCGAACAGTCCGGCCTGTTGTACAAAAGAGAAGGAAACTGGGGCCGGATCGTCAGAAGGCATTGGAAGAAGAAGTTAAAAAACTCGTTGACAATAAATTCATCAAAGAAGCCAAATACCCGACGTGGGTCTCAAATCCAGTGCTCGTTAAAAAGAGTAACGGGTTGTGGAGATTGTGTATTGATTTTTCCGACCTCAACAAGGCGTGCCCAAAAGACAGTTATCCACTTCCCCATATAGATTATATGGTCGACGCCACGTCGGGACATGAGTTGATGAGTTTTATGGACGCTTACTCCGGTTACAACCAGATTCCTATGGATCCCGAAGACTCTGAATATACTTCATTCTATTCGGCCAGAGGTTTGTATTGTTACACTATGATGCCATTCGGATTAAAGAACGCCGGAGCAACATATCAACGTCTTGTCAACAAAATGTTCGCAACATTGATCGGACACACTATGGAAGTTTATGTTGATGACATGCTCGTCAAGTCGGTGCACGCCTCTGATCATGTAACACATCTTCGAGACATGTTCGCCATCCTCCGATGTTATTCCATGGTACTAAATCCGAAGAAATGCACTTTTGGAGTTGAATCCAGAAAATTTCTAGGCTATATGGTTAGCCAACGCGGGATAGAAGCCAATCCGGCCAAAATAAAGGCCATTCAAGATCTAACTCCCCCAACCTCGGTCAAGGGTGTCCAGGCCCTAACTGGCCGACTTGCTGCGCTCAACCAGTTCATCTCCAAATCTACAGATCGTTGTAAGCCGTTTTTTGAAGCAATCAAGAAAGGGAAACGTTTTGAATGGACTGAGGAATGCCAAAAAGCTCTTGACAATATCAAGGAGACGCTGATCTCTCCCCCGACTTTGCAAAAGCCGAAACCCGAGGAGATGTTGTTCGTATACCTCGGAGTTAGTGAATCTGCCATTAGCGATGTTTTGATACGCGAAGAAGGATTGCTGTAGTCACCCATCTATTATGTCAGCAAGGCCTTGCACGATGCCGAACTACGTTATCCTCCGATGGAGAAGTTGGCATTTGCCCTTGTGATTGCAGCCCGGAAATTACGACCATACTTCCAAGAGCATTCTATAACTGTCCGCACTTCATATCCACTTCGGCAGATCTTGCACCGACCTGACTCCTCGGGACGCATGGTTAAATGGGCCATTGAGCTCGGACAATTTGATATCCACTATCAACCGAGGACCGCAATCAAGGCCCAAGCCTTATCCGACTTTATCGCTGAGTTCACCCCGGCCATCGCGATTCATTACGATAATCACCCATGGGTCCTCTATATTGATGGCTCTTCAACAGCCAACCGAGCAGGTGCAGGGATAGTCTTAGCTGATCCAGAGAATCGGTTATTCTGTCATTCGGTGAAATTCCTCTTTCCAGCAACAAACAATGAAGCCGAATACGAAGCACTGCTATCCGGATTGAATTTGGCAGAGTCCATGAACGTAACCCACCTCAAAGTCTTCTCAGACTCACAGCTCCTTGTTAATCAAGTCAATGGTTCCTATGAAGTTAAGGAACCTCGGTTGACACCTTATCTCTCTTTGGCCAAACGGAAATTATCGAAATTCTCCGCCGACCTCGAGCATATCCCCCGAACTCTCAATGTTCAAGCAGATGCCTTATCTCGACTTGCGTCCAGCAGCGGGATGGAGAGCGCGGAGTACATCCAAATCGGTCAACAAGAACAACCATCAACTGCCCTTTCCGAGGTCACGGCCACCAACCCAGTAGCGTCGCAAAAATCACCAACTTAGATGGATCCTATCATCCACTACCTAGAAACTGGGGCCTTACCTCCGAACCCAAAAGAAGCTCGAGCACTTCGGATTCGAGCAGTTGGTACACATTAGACAACGGAACTCTGTTCAAAAGGGGATACTCCGTTCCACTTTTGAAATGCGTAAGTGAAACTGATTCACGGTACATTCTTGAAGAAGTCCACGAAGGGATTTGCGGAAGTCACCCCGGTGCACAAGCATTGTCTTATAAAATCCTGCGGCAAGGCTACTACTGGCCGACTTTGAAGATCGACGCCGCCATATGGGTGCGCAAATGCCCGAAATGCCAAATGTTTGCCCCGAACATCCATCAATCTCCCGAAGAACTAAAATCAATTTACAGTCCGTGGCCTTTTGCCAAATGGGGGATTGATCTTATTGGTCCTCTACCAACCGGAAAGGGAGGTGTCCGGTTTGCTATCGTGGCAGTTGACTATTTTACTAAATGGGCCGAGGCCGAACCGTTAGCCATGATAAACGAACAAAAGGTCGTGGATTTTGTGTGGAAGTCAATTATCTGTCGCTTCGGGGTGCCGAATTCCATCATAACCGACAACGGCAAACAATTTGAAGGCAAACGACTCGAATCCCTGTGTGAAGAATACAACATCAAGCACTTCTTCTCATCGCCTTACCACCCACAATCCAACGGTCAGGTTGAAGCCGTAAACAAACTGATAAAGAATGGCCTCAAAGTCCGACTTGACGCCGCCAAAGGAGCTTGGCCTGACGAGTTGCCACATGTCCTGTGGGCGTACCGAACCACCACCCGGACGTCAACCGGCGAGACCCCATTTTCTCTGACTTACGGTTCCGAAGCCGTAGTCCCGGTGGAGCTCGGAGAACCGACTTACCGAGTTCAGCATTTCACCGAAGAAGCCAACTCGGAAAACATGAAAACAAATCTGGACCTGCTTGAAGAACACCGTACTCGGTCCGAACTCAAGAATGCTGCATACAAACAAAGAAACGAAAGATACATCAATTCTAAACTCAAACCCCGTGCGTTCCAAGTTGGAGATTTGGTCCTCAAGCGTATAATGGGGCCTGACCCCGGACCACTCAAACCGCGGTGGGAAGGACCCTTTCAAATCATCAAAATCCTACCTCATGGGGCCTACCGAATTGCTCATCCCGATGGAACACCACATCAATATCCTTGGAACGCAGTGTTCTTGAAAAAATTCTATCAGTGAAGGATCCGAGGTCGCATAGTCGACCCCCCTCTTGTACGGACCTCCTTTTTGTCTCGGTGAATGCCTGAAATCACCTCTTTTGATGTACTGAATAGCCTATCAGTTTGTGTATTTTGAATATTGGTTAAATATATCATACCGATGTAAGCATTGCGACACTCGGTCTAACTGATGCCCCATAATATGTCCGAGTACCACCTATTCTCGGATGGGGGTGACGCTCGTCAAACGTCATTTCAACATACGTGATTTGACGGGCCCCGAATATTACCGAATACACAACATATAAAGTCGGTTGGGGCCATTTAGTAATCGGACTTTGACGAAGTCCGGTGACTTTCATTTTGTTTCCCGTACAGCCCTAAAAATGTGTTGAGTTCCGCGAAGTTATTTGAAAACTCGCATATCGACTCACACTTGTGGCTGAGATTCTTATAAACGATCAAAGTGGAATTCGGAAGTTATTTTTACAAAATCTTACGACTCGGATCATGATTTAAGTAATTCCGAGTTGAAACAGTTCATTTTCAAATGAAAACCGAATTCAGAACACTTGGTCAAAAAATTGTTGAAATTCGTACAGCAAACATACCATCAAAATCAAACATATGCAAACACTTCATATATAAATTTATTTTGAGAAGTTTGGGAAATCCCTTACATATTTCCTAC